TACTCCTTCTGTTTGAGTGAATCCTTTTGCCACTAAACGAGCCTTGTGTCTTTCAATAGAACCATTTGATTTTAGTTTGACTTTATAAACCCATTTGCAGCCCACAGTTTTCTTTTCTGGAGGTAATCTTACTAAAGACCAAGTTTTGTTGTTTTCAAGAGCATTTATCTCATTGATCATTGCTTTTCTCCAACATTCATGTTCATTGGCTTCTTTAAAAGATGAGGGTTCAGATTGCATTAAAAGAGAATTAGAGTATGAGGTGTATTTAGGAGAACAATTAGGCATTTGAAGTTTGGGTTCTAGAGAATGGGGTGTAGAGAATGAAAGAGAAGCATTGCCACAATAATAAGCATCAAGGTATCCTGGGGCTTTCTTTATTCTTTTATTTGTATCATTGACTTGATTACTGGACTCAGTTAATTGATCAATATTGGAGTCATTAGGGAGAGAGAGGTATGAGAGAATCATTTTTGAGTGAATCATTACTGAAATGGTTATGGACATTGAGATCAAAATGATCAGATGATTGAGTATAAGATCGGAAAGGAAACTGATTCTCATACAGAATGACATTTCTAGAAATGAGAATGCTGCCAGAATGAAGGTTGTATAAAATGTATCCTTTGGTGGTTTCTTTAAAACCTAGAAAGACATATTTGTGAGCTCTGCTATCTAACTTGGATCTGTTGGCTGTCAAAGTGGAAACAAAGGCTAGGCAACCAAACACTTTTAAGTTTGTGAGGTCAGGTTTTGATTGAAAAACTAGCTCAAATGGAGATTTGTTCGTTAAAAACTGGGGAGGGAACTCTATTAATGATATGAATTGCATGTTTCACAGCAAATGACCATAAGGATTTAGGAAGTTTGGCTTGGAAAAGAAGGACTCTAGTGACATTTAGAATGTGTTGATGTTTCCTTTCAACAATAGAGTTTTGTTGAGGGCATTCTACACATGAGGTCTCATGAACAATGCCTTTGTTCTGATAGAAGTCTGGTAGGAAGAATTCCTTACCACTGTCAGATCTAATCTTTTTGAGTTTGACCTCAAATTGGTTTTCAATTTTCAGAATGAAACTTTGTAGGATGGATTTGACTTCTGTTTTATTGGTAAAAAGATGTGTCCAAGTAAATCTTGTCCAATCATCTACCACAGTGAGGAAGTATTTGTGTCCTTAAATAGATGAAATGGCTAGAGGCCCTCATATATCAACATGAAGGAGGTAAAAAAAACTTATTGGATTTGGTTGTGCTGTTTGGGTAAGGTAACTTCTTTTGTTTAGAAAAATGACAAATATCACAACACTAAAAAGATGAATAAGGAATATAGTTGTATTGTGTAGACAATTGTTTCAGAACAGCATCAGAAACATGACCCAGTTTGAGATGTCATAACAGTGATGTATCAACATTATTTGCTAGACTACAATTTGTAACATCATTGTTGGACTCTACATTATTACATGACTCAGTAATCAAGTGATTTTTAAAAGAAAGGTAAAACAGGCCTTGATGCTTTTTAGCAATGCCAATCCTCTTCAAATTGATTTTCTGCAAAATGAAACATGATGAATGATCAAATATGACCATTTGATTAGAATCAGAAAGCAGTTTGGAAATGGAGATTAAATGGGCAGACAAGGAAGGAACAAATAGAACATTATGAAGAACTAGTTGTTCTAAAACAACAATTCCTGAGAATTGTGAAGTGACAAATGTTCCATTTGGGAGTTTAATATGGACTGGAGACATTGATTGTAGATTAGAAAAAGGTGTTGTGATGGACATATGTGATCAGTGGCTCCACTATCAATAATCCAGTATGTGAAGGAAGAAGGTTTACCAAGGAGTTTGAAATCAGAGGTAGAAGCATGATGAACAGAAGGATTGGAGAAATTCCAAGATTGAGAATGTTGAAGAAGAGCCAGAACATTGTGATATTGCTCCTTAGACAACAGAAATTGATCCTGAGCTTGATTTTCCAAGTTGGAAGCAGCGAAGGCAACATTTGGATCTATAGAAGTTAGGTGTGCAGAGGAAGTTGTATTTTATGATGAATTGCTAGTTTTGTAACGTGGAGGATAGCCATGTAACTCAAAACAGGTATCACGTGGGTGATTGTTTCTTCCACAATGATCACAGAATTTGTTTCCTCTTCCTATGCCTGAACCATATCCTCTACCACCACGAGAGTTAGATGATCTGCCTCTAGAATTATTAAAACCACCACGAGATTTATATGAAGTATCTGAAGTACTTTGACTTGTGAATCTAGAGTCATTAAATGCTGCTAGGACATATTTGGATGACTGAGATGTACCAAATTCAGGCTCTTGCTGAAGAATTAGGTTAAATGTTCGTGTGATTGAAGGTATTGGAGATATGAGCATCACGTGAGAACGTGTGTGTGCGTATTCATTATTCAAACCACGAAGAAACTTGATAACATAATCGTTTTCTCTTTCTTTCACAATTTTCGTAAGAACACCACAACAACAAGGAGTTGAACACTTACAAACAGGTATGGTGCGATATTGTTCAAGTTCTTTCCAAAGAGAGGTGAGTTTGGTAAAGTATTCAGTGATGGTAGAAGTTCCTTGATGAAGACTCTGAATCTCTTCCTGTAGATCAGCAATGCAGAAAATATCTCCATGTGAGAATTGATCCTTAAGATCCTTCCAAATTTGGTGTGCTGTGTTAGAGTAGATAACAGATTGAGCTATTGATGAGGACATAGAACGCATGAGCCACGACATAACTATTCGATTGCAGCGCCTCCATGGTTCGCGAAGTGGATCATTTGGTGCCGGAGATGGAAGTGAACCGTCAACAAACATGTCTTTATTCTTTGATTCCAACATCGCAAGCATGTTATGGCGCCATGAATGGTAGTTCTTCTCTGTAAGAAGTACTGGAACCAAGATTAAAGTTGGATTTTCGCTCGGATGAAGATACAAAGGATTGGAAGGATTGTTGAGATGATCAAGAGCAGTATCATCTCGATTCTCAAGATTGGATCTGGTGTTAACCATAGTGATTGGAAAGCTAATCTTTCGGAAGAAATTTTTAGAGAGAAGAAGAAGATTTCATCTGATACCATATTAGCATATTAGCGTGTAAAACTATGGAAGAAAATGAAAACTTCATTAAGAATCTCGGAAGAAGAAGCCTATATATAGGCAAGGCTACAAGTATGTTTAGTACCTGAATAACTAGACTAACTAACTAACGAACTGGCTTAACAATTAAGCTAACTAATTAGTAGTCTAATTATTATATTACAAAGTAAAAATTGATCAAATAATGATCATATATTGTAATAGTACGTACAAACATCATTTAAGTAAACATGTATACTGAAAGTACTTCATCAAACTCTTCTTCACCGACACTTGTTGCACCTGTAAACTCAAAGGCTGATTAGAACATTTTAGACATCTAGTGTTAGTTACCATCAAAACATAACATATCTCAACAGTCAATTTACGTCTCTGAAAAGGGAAGCAGAAACAGTGAACTTTATGTACTACAATTTGATTTGGGATCTCAGCATTTTGTTGTAAGATGAATGAATTGGTTTTCTGCCTAGTGTCTAGTTATTTTTATTATTTATCTCAATTTAAGATAAATATGATTGGTGTTTTTACTCATGTACTTGTACTCTGAATTCTCATCACTAAAAAGAAATTAAAAAAGACTAACATTACGTTGTTACATAGTTGGTTCAAATGAGGATACAAATTCCCTAACCACGTGAAGGCTTTGAAGACAATTCATAAACGGTCTTTGGAGCCACACAGTAAATTGAAAGAAAAACAAGTATTGATTGGAACTAACAACCCACAATATAAAAATCCACCAAAGTTCTTCCTATCTGCCAGCGCCCACGTCCAACACCGGTTGTCAGCACTCTTCGGAATTAGAAACCTTGGCGATCCAACTCGACGCAAGTTGCGTCTATCTCGTTTTATGGCTTGAACAACTCGATGTCAATTTATTATAGAATTTATAGGTATATATTAATAGATAACTACGATCAAACGACAGGAAGATCACAAAAGTCAAAGTAGGACAAACATTTAAGGACAGACGGAGTATATTATATTTACAAGTTTCTTATAAATATACTATTTTAAATGATTGATCAAATTTACTGAAAAAAATAAAATTGCTAACACAGACAAAACTAGTACTACCTGAGTTGAAATTGGCTTATTTATGCAGTTGGCGCATGCACATCAGGTATACAGACAAATTTTATTGACTATTCAACATGACGATTGGAACATCTCATCCAAAATTACACATAAAACAAATTAGATATTGCCAATTCCAAAACTGAATATAGGAGTTTTTTCCTAAAGGAGTGTACTTTTTAATCTTATTTCCCAAAAGAGGGTACTTTTTAAGTTATTTCCCAAACCAAGGTAGTTTTTGCCTTGTCATATGCCATGTCAGTATTTTAATATTATTTTCAAAATTAGAGAACTCTATTGTTTTGTTTATTTATAATTTTTTGCACTCATTTTTGAATGATTGATGTATTGGAACGTAGTGCCTTTTAAAAAAAATTGGTATGCTGTTGGTGAGTTTTTAATATCTTTTATTAGAGTGCTTTTTAGCCAAAAAAAAACGTCACTCTTTTGTGATGTATTGAAAGGCCTTGTGTAGTGTCTTTTGGCCAAAAACGGAATAAATACATATGACAACAGCAGCTTGACAACAAATTCATTTGGCAGAGTGGGTCAGGGCCTGGAGGAATTAATATGGACAAATCAAGGGGTGCAGGTTCGATTCCCATCTTGCCTTTTTTGTTAAAAAATTTAATCTTTAACATATGTCATATGCAACTATGAATAAAATGACGTGGATATTCCTTAAAAAAATGACGTGGATATAATAAATTGCAGATTTCATCCGAGTGCTGACATGGCACCTATATTTCGATGACTAAGCAAAAACTACCTTGGTTTGGGAAATAAGTTAAAAAGTACCCTCTTTTGGAAAATAAGATTAAAAAGTACCTTCCTTCAGGAAAAAACTCCTGAATATAGTATAGTATGGTTTTTACCATTCATTTTTAACGGTACAGTAAAACCAGTTCTCCTTTTGACATTTGCGTCAAACTTCATATTTACAACACCCAAACACAAAACAGAGATCAGATGAAAAAATTGCCAGTAAAATGTAAGATTGAAATTCTTTTTTCCATTTTTACAGCGGTAATTTTTTTGAAACGGTCAGCGCGAAAGGTCAGTTATGTCACTCCGTTGGGAGAAACTCCTCCAGAAACCAGCCCCGTAGAACTTTTCCCACATTTCCTTCTCCAGCTCAATCACAGCTTTGTCAGATTCCAGAGAACTCGCCGCCGCCGCCGGCGTCGATGCGGAGAGGTGATAGATTTGTAGCTCGGATCCGTCGTTGAAGCTGAACTGCCTCTGCGGCCACCGATCCGTACTCAGCAGCCTAGAGCGGCGCCGCCTAATCCTTAGCGCCTTGCGGCAGAGCCCGGTGGGGACCTTGTACACCGCCAGCACCACGAGATTCACCAGAATGCAGGGGCAACAGCAGGAAACCGCCGCACAATCCGCCGCCGTCTCACCGGCCACCTCCCCGAAACTCGGCCTCCTTTTATGGCCGCCTCCCCGCACGGTGGAGGCGTCCGGATCCACAGCCAGTAACGTCTGCTGCTTTTCCAGGAACGACGGCGATAGAACGATTTGTCTCGTCATTATAACCTTCTCTTCCCTTCCACCAGATTTCCTCAAACAAACGGCTAATTTCGAATCATTACAATTTCATGGCTCCCGCCGGAATGAGTACGACGACGTCTCTCCCTCCTCTCTCCGCCGTGGAGGAGGGTTCCACGGCAATCCGTTTTAGCAGAGACGAAAGCAAAAACTCAATCAAAATTGAAAAAAAATTGTTACAGATAATAAAAACAGAAAAGATCTTCCTGAAATTGGCAGTTCTTCTGAATAAAATATCTTCGTCCGGACGTATTTTTCGAATGCGATTTTGAGATCCTCTGTTTTTGAGAATGAATGAATAGGAGAAGAAGAGGGAGAGGTAATGATCGGTTAATGAATGGAAAGCTGTTAATTATCCCTTAACTATTTGGATTTATGCTGGCCGTTCTGCCTCTAAGAGGGTGCCACGTCATCGAGATAAGACTATCCAGCCGATTTATTTGTTTTATTGTTAGAAGAACCCGACTATACACGTGATTAATAATTGGATAATGATTATTTTAATTATTTTACTGTGCAAAATTTTCTGTAGAAGAGATTTTCTGCCCAACCTATATTATTTGGTGGGCCAATGCTAACATTTACGCGGACACTACATGGGCTTGGAGCAAAGAGTTGAGAGTTTCTGATCGAACGATCTCATCTCAATTATGTGCCAAATATTACATAAAAATTCTAAATATTCACAAAGTTATTTTCCTAATCCAACATGGAACCGTAATTAACTAAGTAATTCAATTAGGCTGATTAACTGATTAATTTAATTAGGTGTCTCCTAATAGTCGGCCTAACATTGAATGGAGGAAGTAAATCCCGGTAACTCAAGCAATTAAGGAGATTTGGATGTGATCTCGTGACCTCACGGCAATAGGCCATTGAGGCACTTAAACACTCCTTATCGACCACTTGATTGAGCTACCGAGATAAGGAATGTATGACTCAGTACGCTTATACAGTGTTTAAGTGCTTTTAATGGACCAAATTCATATTTTGAGCCCTCAACCCATGTGATCTCTTGCAAGGTATTTGGTTATCACAGTAATGTACTTAGATAAATAAATTAGTTAGGTTTAATAACTATATTTTGGTAATCATTGACTTCAAGTTGCGGCATACAACACTTAATTAGCTTCTTTGGATAATCATAGCCGCGATCCCGAGGGAAAAATTTGGAACAAACAAATACTCCGTAATTATTACCTAAAGAAATTAAACCAACTCCCCCATGCCATGCTCTAATCAACATTAGAAGAAACCTAATTTTCCATAACTAACCCTACGCGGGGAGAGGAAAAATTTGACCGCTAGAGGGTATTATTTTCCTTAATTAGTTATGGCTTGTTAGACTTTTGGGAATGCATGTCATCTCATCTCTCAACCCGAGCCGGGCTCTTTGTTGTTTCATCTAGAGCCTAGAGCACTTGTTTTGTTTGAAACGCTTTTCTCCATCCCAACAGTGCTACTATAATTTTTTATTCATCCTCCCGATTGGATACGGTTATATAATACAGCAAATAATATAGATAAAATTTGCATACACGTGACACATATTTGTATGTAATAACTTGTTGCACAAGCTGTCTGTTTACACAGGTAACTCATGAATATTTACACATTGTCTGTGTGTAGACAGTAGACAAATATGTAAAAATGTGTGTCGAGTATGTACACATTTTGTGCGCATAGACAAATTTCCAAATAATAAAACCCACTGAAAATATTTTTTTCCCATTTTATTGGTATTTTTTGTTTTTTATTCCCTAAAACACAACAAATATATATATTTTGGGTTTATTGCGCCAAAGTTATTTGTGTATTACGTTAGTTGTACTTAACACCACAACAACTAAGGATTTCCAATACTTACAGGTCGTTTGGTAAAACTGTTTTTGGCTTATCAGGCTTATCAATCATTTTTTCACCAAACACGTCACTTTTGTTTTCGCGTGCTGAATTGTGTAATAATAAGAAAAAGTAAGATTGTAGTTACTTTTCTGGTTGTATTAGCTGAAGTTACTATAGATGACCATTTTAGCTATTTTTACATATAAGTTTTTAATTTTTTTTTAAATCAGCAGAATCAACTAATGTAGTCACTTCAGCCAGATCGAATTTCATAAATTTCAGCAGAATCAGCCGATTTTCGTGTTACCAACCGGACTCTTATATTTTTAACTATAAGTGCACTTTTTATTGTGGTTTTAGGCAACATATGCATGCAACTGCAAAAAAATTGTTATTTTTGTAGGTGTCAAAAAATTAATACGGAGTAACATATACTAAGTACGTTCTATATACATTCCGGAATGCAATGAATTTTGTTTGTAAACCTACACATACTTTCATGATCTATGCATTGGTGTTACTTTAAACAACTAATTTATTTAAGATAAATATAGTACGTGGTGAACGGGTGATAGTTGAAAGTATAGAAATTACTCAATTAAGAACTAAAACATCTATAAAAGTATAGAAATCACTCAATTAAGAACTAAAACATAGTTAAAGTTCAAAAATAAGATTAATTGTGTTTTCAATCCCCGAATAGGACATGAAAGTAGGGTTTAGAGTGCTTGAAATACAAAATTATTTTTAATTCTCAGTTTTCAAACATTAGTTCATTTAATTTAGGCTAAAGGGTCAAATAGGTACATGAACTAACTTAAAGTGTTCAATTAGCCCCTTATATAGGAGCCTCTGCCCGATCGTCGCCAATTGGGGCGGTTCCCGGTGGAATTTTTTGATGAATTGTCTTGAGCATCTTCTTCATTAAGTCTAGTTTACCTATACCAAATTTAAGCTAAAAATTCAACCGGGAAGGCAGTCAAATGATTTTTTTAAGATAACTGTGCAGTTAAACAGCGCATTACATTTTCGAATATCATTTGACTGCCTTCCCGATTTAATTTTTAGCTGAAATTTGATATGGGTAAACTAGACTTAATGAAGAAGATGCTCAAAAAATTTCATCAAAAAATTCCACCGGGAACCATCCCAATTGACGACGGCCGGGCAGAACTTCCTATATAAGGGGCTAATTGAACACTTTAAGTTAGTTCATGTACTTATTTGACCCTTTAGCCTTTAATTTATATCGTTGCACACATCTTGAAAAAAATACGTTATTTTACCCCGATTGCGTATACCCAAAGGGAGTATAATGCTTGTTCAAAGTTATTGAAGAAATCACGTGCATATCTTTTTTGTAGCGGTTCAAGTCCAAACGGTAGCAAATTAAAGAGTCATAACTTTTATTTATATGAAATAACACTTAGCTTTTAGAAAAATGCTTGGTGTACATATTTTGTGTACATATTTTGTGTACACAAAATGTGTACACCTAGCAAAACTCTAGCTTTTATGTACAGAAGACAAAGAGTCCCCGCAAATTGGCAACTCCTTGGGTATTGAAACAACTTAGGCTATGTTTGGCGGGCATAAGTCTCTGACTTCTACCTTTTGTATTGTTCAAAAAGTCTCTAAAAGCTTCAAGTTATATGTTTGTCATGACAATTTTTAAAAGCTTTTCAAAAATTAAAAGATCTTTTTTGAGATGCTACAGACAGTAGCATCTGAAAAAATTTCTTGACTTTTAGTATTAATTAGTCCTAACAGCTTGTATACCAAACCGAACTAAATCAAAGAGTCAGCTTTTTACTAAACAGCTACCGCCTTTTCTTTTTAAGATCTTTTCAGTCACTAAAAGTAAACAGTTGTTAAAAAGCTAACAAAATATATTTGGCTAGTTGTGCCAAACATGCCCTTAAATGCTTGATTAGCTCTGATCTCACCAACAACATTCCGCAACTTCTTTCGGGAAGTTATCAATTAATTACCTCTTAATCTCTTATTGCTATGTTGGGAGGGAATTGGGATGCTCCAAATTTGGTCATATGTACGTACTAGTGAGCTGGGCTTCGGTTGTGTAATGATGAATGGTGTCATTTTGTTAATTGTTATACTCCGTACTAATTATTCCAAGTTTTCTCAATATGGGTTTCCATAATTTTAGATTAAATTTTATCCTAGTTTTCTTTCCATTTAATAGTCATTCTTTAATTTACGAGTATATAGTTTGCTTGTACACCTTTGGAACAAAAGCATGATAGAAGCTTGAGAAAAGTTAGTTCCTACATTAGTGTTCAAACTTTCTAACATTGTTTAATAAAAGCATTTCACCGTAAAATGTTAATAAAAGCATTAAAAACAACATGCATCAATAGAAGCTTAAGAAAAATGTGTTTACTTACAATAGTATATACGAAGTAATACATATAGATCAGACTACCAGATCAATTCAAACTAAACTAAACTAGAATTAAATAGATCAGACCAAACAAGGCTACAAAATTTCAATCCATTTAAAAAATTTCCTTTTTGATTAAGAAATTGTACGGCAATGCAAAAACTTTAATTATTTCTTAATCTAAAATTATGGAAACCTCATAAATTAAAGAATGGACACCAAGCTAGCGAGTACTACGTACGTATAGTATGTGAGTTTGCAAGAAACATGCACAACCAATCACTCTCACCATATATACTCTAAGCACTCCATTCATTCATCTCCTCATTAATTCTCCATCGGATAATTAATAAGCATTACCATTGTTTTCTCTTTCATTTGATTCCCATTGTTTTTTCATTCTCATAACCTAATTATCCAATAAAGAGAAGGAAAAAACAATGGCCGCCCACCATCGACGCCTCTTCCTCCTCCTCATCTCCGCCCTTCTCTTCCTCTCAGCCACCGCACAGTACTCCTACGATGACGAAGACGGCGAGGCTGCAGATGCGCCTGTGGCGGTTTCCTACATATCTGCGTCCCCGGATGCCTCTCCCTCCGCCGCTCCTGCCCCCGCCCCCTCGTCGGAAGACGACATTGACGCCTCTTCCTCAGATCAGCAGAGTCTCCCCCTCCTACAAACATCAAAACTCGTCTCTTCCACCCCGGTATATATAACACATCCATTTCATAACTAATTTCATAGATAATATTTCAACTTTAATACTAAATTGTTACTCTCAATCCTATTTTGTAAGATACACTTTCCTTTTTTAAATGTTCAAAAAATATGAACACTTTCTAAAATTGAATTCCACTAACTTTTAACTTTCCAACTTTATTCCTTTATCTATCATTTACGGAGTATCATTTAATTTATGGGTTCATTTTTCTCTTTCATACTTTTGGGAGATTGGAATTGTAAAATAACAACTTTATCCTTTATGTTTTTAGAGCATCTACGATGCTATAATATGCACGATGTACATGTGGCATGAGAGACATAGGCAAATAATATTAAGTATTTAAGTTTATGACATTT